GAGCACCCACTACTCACAGGCCCCAGCCCTGCACTGTGGGACCACCAAGCCCAGGACGGAAGGAACACAGCTGCTGAGGGTACTCTGCAGCTAGGGCTCTTCCCATTCTGGACCACACCCCTACCCTCAACATTCCTATAAGGGGATCATGTCCCCCATTTTACAGATGAGGCGGTCCTAGCTATTCTGGAGAGCATGCTCTGCCAGGCGGTCCACCAACCAGGCAACCCCAGGGCCCAAGGGAGGCGAGAACTGACAACCGCAGAAGCTGGGTAATGGGTACACTGGGCCATACCGTACTATCCTCTATTCCTCTGTGTGTGTGTGCGTGCATGTGCACACATGCATGCACGCATACACGCATAAAATGTGTTTTTTAAACTAGACAAGACAATTTGAAGAAGAACAAGTAGGGGAGAGGGGACTTACTAAAGCTAGAGAAGTGGTAGGGGACAGATCAGACCGGGGAGCCAGAAATAGCACTGGTGTTATGCGATAGGGTCAGTACTGTGGATTGGTGAGCCGAGAACGGCATTCAGCCATAGATGCTGGGACTGTTATGTGCCCTAAGGAAAAAGGTGAAATCGGATCCTCTATCAGCCAGGACATAATCGGCTAGGCTGTGGAAAATGCAAGCCCCAAACTCAGAGGCTTCACACATCAAAAATTTATTTCTCACTCATGTTACACGTCCAACATAGGTTGGTGGGGGTACTGGGAGGGGGAGCTCTGCTTTTCATAGACTCTCTGATGACGACAACAGATCCCTCTGTCATTCAGGAGCAATTACAAGTGGAATCAAGACAAAAGGCAAAACACTAAAACTTCATGAATATAGGGAATGCTTTCTTAAATCAGAAACAGAAAGCATCCTGCTGGCAGGCAGCATCCCTTCCTCTAGGGCCGAGGCTCCACTCCCCTGACTCAGTAGCTCACCCCTTGGTATAGACCTAGACCCCGGAGCCTGGAGGAGCTCTGCATGTGTGCACGCAGAGACACGTGGGGGCTCATCATGACAGCACTGTCCAAAGGTGCAGAAAGGGAAAGCAAAGACCCCTACCTCGGGCATCCTCCCAGCAGTATCCACGCAGGCCTAGTCCTGCCTCCTTGATGCTGCCCACTCAGCTCTGAGCGTAAGGCATGCTTCCTCTTCTCAAATACTGAGTGCCCCATGCCCCAAGAGGACTAGCCACTCTTGTCCTGCGAGATTTAGTGTGGTGCTGTGGCTTCCTTTGGCCATGGTAGTATAGGTGGAGTGACACAAATTACTTGCAGCTCGGTGTGTTCTCTCCCTGCCTCTAGGTCTCGATGGAGATCAGTCCGCTTGGGTCCTGAGGGACAGCAATAAGCAGAGATCATATTGTCGATGGCTGAGATGCTGGGGGTTTGTTACTCCAGCACAACCTGGCTCATCCTGACTGGTGCAACAGGGTAGCATCTCTATTGACTTTGTTCCTGCTGATGTACTTTGGGCTGTTTCCAGAGCTTTGCTGTTAAGGATGGAGGAACATCCATTGGGCAGTTACCAGAGTCTGGCCCGTGACAAACACTGTACGGGCATTATCTCATTCAACCCTCCCAACCACCCTGTGAGGTAGAAACTATTTTAACAGCTCAGAGAGGTTAGGTGACACCAAGGACCCTCAGCTTATCAGTAGAGGAGGTAAGATACGACCAAGCTCAGTCCAGACACCCCGACACCTCAGATACCATGTAGCAAACATCCCTGGACATGATCCCTCATGAACTTAGGCAGTGATCAGGGTACACACTCCTCCAACTTTTATGCGGTCAAAGTACAGTATTTTATACACCCACCAACAGGATAAGAAAACTGTTTCTCCGTACCTTCAGCAATTCTGGGGATCTAAAACTCTTCAAGTCCTGATGGGTGGCATGAACGGTTTGCACTCAGCTGGTAACGAGAAGGTTGGCGGTTCAAACTCACCCAGCAGCACTGCGGAAGCAAAGTCCTGGTAATCTGCTTCTATAAAGAAAACCCTATGAAGTGGTTCTACTCAGTAACACATGGAGTCGCCATGGGTGGGAAGTGACAGCACAAAACAACACAGGCAAAAAAAAAAAAATTCACCCATATTTCCCTGTAGTACTTCTATGAGTTTTTTAATGTTGAAATCTTTAATCCACCTGGAATACATGCTGGTATAAAGCGTGAGGGAGGTCTCGTTTTACTGTTATTCAGATGGCTGACCAGTTGTCTCATCTTCTTTTATTGAATTTTACCCCCATTAATTTGAAACACCTTTAGCAAGCATTCAATTCCCATCTTTATTTAGCTCTATTTCAAAGTTCTCTGTGCTCCTCTGTTCACCTGTCCACACCAATGTCCAACTACCTTAATTACTGCAGTTTATGTTTCAATATTTCATAGGTCCTTGTCCTCAGTACTTCCTTTTGTAGAATATTCCTTGGAGACAGGTACTTTAAAAACATTCCCATAGTGCCTGCCATGTCCTACCCCCAAGAGAGAAAATCTCTAGGTATTTTCAGGGGCAGAGAGGGACAGACATGACGAGCTGGAAGGTGGCAGGCCCTGCCAGGCTCTGCTGCTCCCCTGGAATGTCCAGAGCACCCATCCTCCGGGTCCTCTGCCTGTGACCAGTGCTGGCTTGTTTACTACCTGGGAGTGGCGAATGGTCCAAAGGACCGTCCTCCCACTCGCCAGGAGTAGAGCCTCCTCTCTTGCCCTTTGTACTTTTTCTCCCCCAAGAAACAAGAAAGCAGCTAGGTTACCACATCTGCCAGAAGGCAAGGCACCACCACAGGCTGGAGACATGCCATCATTCTGCACCACTGGATGCACTTCCTGTGTGGAAGACCAGGCCAGAGCCCTCCCATCCTCTCAATTCTCAATCAAGTATTCACTTGACGTTTACTAAATGAAGATGGGGAAAGGCAGCCCAGGCAGAAGCCAGCAAGATAGTGAGGGATCAACTAAGGGATGGAGAGCCATCCAACCCAGACAGCACCCCAAACTCTACTGCCAGAGCTGCTTAACAGCTCAACCCAAGGGCCCTGGTCGCTAATACCAGACCCACAGACATGGCAGGGGGAAAGCAGTCTGTCCTGGGCCTGAAAAAGAGAGCTTAGACCTGAGCAATAGAGGGGGATGCATCCTGCTCTGCAGGTGCAGCGCAGCAACCCAGCACTGAGGCACCGGCGCTAGGGCAGAACATCAGGATTTCCCACATCTGATCAAAATTAAGACTGTGCATTGTTTTCTTCTTCAGCTTGGTTGTTCTGCTATCAGTTATTTAGCTTCCTAAAAATAGCTCCTCACCTACTTCTAAGATTTGCAACAGTTTTACCTGCAAGGCATCTGTGTCTAAAAGTAACTCACACATAAAACCATCTGAACCCAGAGCCTTTTTGACAGTTACCAAATAATCTCAACAACTTGTTTTTCTTAAAAATTTTTAACAGATGTTTGCTTATTATTGTTTTCCCCAAAATAACTAGTTTTATTTCCAGTTCGTTTCTTAGTTTTTCTTCCTACTTTCCAGGAAGGTTTTCTCTTTTGTTGTTTGTTTTTATAATTGTAAAATTGAAAGAGTTTGAAATTCTTGCCCAGTCGCCCCTCGGGGTAGGCACCCTGCACACGGAGCAGGCGGATGCACCCCCATCCTGTGTTAAACTTGGCCTGAGGGAGCCTCCGTGCTCCGCTTTCATTATTAGAAAACCCATCTTGTATAGAACAGGTCTTTCTTCATTCCAATCCTCTGGGCCCTGGGCCTCACAGCAAGAGTCTGCTGCCTGCTCCTCACCTCATCTCCAGCTCTGGGAAGTCAGTCTCAAGGGCACCCTCCACCTGCCAAACTTTTCTTTCCTACCTATTTAGCCCCAACTCCTTCAACCAGACCTTTTGGTCTTCAAAGTCCCCACCAGAAACAATCCTGACTGCGGATGCCTGCAGCTGGGGCCTTTGCTCCTGATAGATAGAATGGGAACAATGTTCCCACTGATGAAACAACCACATCAGACTCAGCTGTTGATCCAACACACATTTAATGAGCACCAATTGTGCACCAACTACACAAAGCTAAGACAGAGCCCTGCCCTAGAGGCTCACAGTCTACCAGGGAGATACAAGTGTTTACATTATTAGGGTTTTAAGTGCTGAACCAGCCATGCGTAAAGGAGTACACAGGTGAGGACAGGGATTGCTAAATAGCAGAAAGTGGAGAGGGCAGCACAACAGCACATGCAAAGGCACTGATATAAAAAAACCATGCCAACTTCGGAAGAAAGCCAGCTCTGACTAGGATGTTAAATATCCAAACCAAAATCCATTGCCATTGAGTCGATTACAACTCATACTGACACTATAGGACAGAGCAGAACTGCCCCATAGGGTTTCCAAGGAGCAGCCAGTGGATTCGAACTGCTGACCTTTGGTTAGCAGCCATAGCTCTTAACCACTGTGCCACCAGGGTTCCAGAATGTTACGAACACCCAGAAAGGGAAATTACCTAGAGCGAGCTTGGCAAGGGGGCTTGCATCCCACCTTCCTCCATCCCAACTGGCCTGTGCTGCTGGTAAACCCCCAGGGACTCATCTTTCTCTGCCAAGGTGCCATCCCACTCGTATTAAAGGATCAAAGTGGCCATTTCCTCCATAAAGCCTTCTTAAATTCCAGCCAAGAGGACAGAGATCACAGGGAGCAGAGAAGGGGGAGAGGGTAGATCCAAACAGGACAAGCAGGGTAGCCCCAGACCAGTGCCTGCCAATGTTGAGAAGTATCAAGAGAGGGTACAATTTGCGGGGGCGCAGGATGGTGCAATCATCTGATGGCAACTGATTTAAAGAACTCCATCCAACTAGGAGGAACAGCCTGGGTGAGATGGCACTCCCAGGTGAGATGTGGGTACATAGCTAAGAACACAGTGGGAGGCGGCCCCCTGGACTGTTGGGGAAGTGGAGGCTAGGGCACAGGCCAACGTTCTGCTGCCAGGGGAGTCAGGGGATGTTTTGCTCAGATAGGGCAGGGCCCCAAACAAGTGCAACTCCTCACCTAGGAGCAGGGCCAGCAGATAGTGCAACACCCCAGCAGCATTAGGGCTCCACATGTCTGGAGTCATATGGCAATGTCACTCTGTCCTGCCGGGGCCAGGGGACTCCTTGGTTAAGTAGGCCACTTTATCTTGAGGGCTAGTGCTGCACCCGCCTGGGCCATGTTCATAGTCCAGGGCTGCCGGTTTGGGAACAGTAGATAACGATAGTTCTCCTGGGGTCTCCAGAGCATCCACTGCCTCTTGTGTGGAACCTAAGGATGCGTCCAGGTTTCCCTGCTCTCAGAAACCTCCTGTCTTCTGTGGTGCTGGACCCCCTGGGTGATGTGGATGCTGTGCAAGGGGCTTAGCAGATTCTGGAAGTACAGGGGCTATCTCCTCTAGCTGGGAGGTGGGTCCCACAGGAATGGAATCGGTGCCACCTGCAGAATCGGACAAGGCAGGGTGCTCCACGGGCCCAGGGCTGTTTTTCTTGGCCAGCTGCTGCTCAGGCAGAGCATTTCTGGATGCTGAGTTAGAAGCAAAAACAGCAGGGGTGGCCAAAGCGGCTGGGACAGGCCCAGGAGGAGCACCCATGTTGAAAGCCAGGGCTTCTGAGAATCGAGCTAGTACTGCCTTACCGCAGGCAGCCGCGGGGCCACTGGCGGCTGGCTCAAGGCCAGGGGTAGGGGTAGGGCCCAGGGCACTGCAGCACGGTACTCCGCAAAACTGTGTGGGTCTTGGATCACCTCCTCAAGATCCTGGCAGAAGAGCTTGTAATCGTCAAGCGTAGGCAGGCCGGCATTGAGGTAGCAGGCAGCCCAGGCCCAGACCCAGCCCGTCCATACCCAAGAATGTCGCAGACTCAGCTGAGGCTATCCTGGTAGTGCTTGAAGCAGAACGATGTGTCATCTCCCAGCTGGGCCAGAAAGCGGTCCAGCAGCCATGGGGAGCTGTCAAAGGTGCCTGGGTCAGCGCCCGGTACCCAAAGTCCACCCCGTGGGGCTGCAGGATGGGCAGGCGTGCAACGGGAAGGCCCCTCTCTGCGGGCTCACCACCAGGGGCGCTGCTCGCTACAATCTTCTGCTCCACAGCTGTGCGGATGCACTCAGAGTCCCCACAGCACAGCTGCTCAATCCAGGGATCCACAAGCGGGGTGTACGTGACCCCATTAGAAGCACAGTCCACCAGCTGCCAAGGGTGCGCAGTGGCGTAACTGGCTGCTGCCCGAATGGGATGACGAGGGCCTTGCTCATGGTGCCAGCCACGAGGCATGCTGGGAGCTGTTGGAGTTGCCACACCAACTACAAGAAGGAAGAGAGAGATGGTGGCGCAAGGTGGGAAGGCATGGACAAAAGCAGCAACAAAGGATGAGACAGGACAGAGATTGGCTGAGCAGGGGTGTGGCAGACCCAGGCTGCTCCAAGCAAGTGATGAGGATGGGGTGCTAACAGCTGCGGCCTCAGGAGAGCTGAGAAGAGCTGATGGAACTGTCAGATGCAGGCCAACATCCCAGGCAATCTGTCCAAAAAGAAGGTGGGGAAGGACAGGAACGAGGCCCAGTCATCCTCACAGGGCTGGCAGGAGGAGGCAGCAAGCAGGCAAGCCCCTGGTGCCAGGAGAGCTGAGTGGGCCTGCCCTAGGAGGGTAGGCAGGCAAATGCTGCCTGTGACAGTTCAAGGGCAAGGGTATGGCAGATGCTGTCAATCCCAGGAGAAGGAAAGGGGGCAGGATTGGCACCCCCTATGTTTCCTTGAAACCTCTCAACTGGGCTATCAAGGAATCTCAAGTCTATTCCAACTCATAGTGACCCTCTATGACAGAGCAGAACTACCCCACAGGGTTTTCTAGACTGTAATCTTTACAGGAGCGGATTACCAGGTCTCTTCTCCCACAGAGCCACGAATGGGTTCAAACTGCCGACCTTTTGGTTAGCAGCCGAGCATTTAACCACTGTACCACCAGGGCTCCCTAAGGAGAACAGTAAAAGTGACATTTCACTGAGGACTCAATTTGTGCCCAACACCAATGATGCCCTGATGAGGCTGGCGCTATTATCACCACTGTAACCACTTAGAAAGGGAGGCACAGAGTGGTGAAGTAACTCATCTGCGGCCACACAGCCAGGAAGTGGTGGAGCAGTTGAGTCTGGATCCAGAAACCACATGCTTAATCACTACACATCATGCAAGTTATAAACTACGGTTCACAGTCAGCTGAGAAGTAGACACCTGGACTCCCCAAACACTGTAAGCTCGTGAAGTACACAGAACGTGTCATAAGATTCTTTTCCGTTTCAGCCCCTCTTTCCAAGTACTCTGCACAGCACCAGGCACAATGCAGGTGCTAACTGCATCCCTGACTGAAGGACGGAGTAAACAGGTCCCGCCTGGTCTCTCTTCCTCCTGTTGCCCCTCCTCCAATGCTTTCCAGACTGCCCTCTCCCCACTGCAGTCCACCTGCAGGCAATGCCACTCCTGCACCAGGATCACCTCCCTCCTCTCCCCAGGCAGATAGAAAAGATCCTGCTCCTCCACCCTCACCTAAGTGTAAAACCCTGGAATCCCCCTTGCTGCACCTTCTCTCACCACTCCAAAGTCATTCATGCACAGGGCCTGGACAGCCCTTCTCGAGGCGCCAGACCTGCGCCTCTCCTCCATGTAAGCACTCCAAAGAAATCCAGACTGGGAAAAGAGGCTCCATCACAGCTACAGTTCACTTCCAGTGCATGAAGCCCTCCTCCTCTCACACTGCCCAGCCTGGCTGTAGCCACCTCCCCAATCTTGCTGCAAAGCCAGCGCACTCATGGCCTCCACGTGCAATTTTTCCAACAACCTCTGCACACGTAGCCCAGTGCTCCTCCAGCTCACACCCAGGGGCATCATGGGTTGTACATGCCTTCGTGCAATTTCCTATGCATTCACCTACCCCCATCAGGGTGAGTTCCCCAGGAAGGTACAGTTATATGGGTCTTCCTGCCTAGCACCTCACAGGGGGATCTGAAGAACTGGAAGTTGCCAAGGCCACCAGCACCCTTTGCCATCCAATCATTCTGGAACCTCTCAGGTACATCCCCCCACTCTGAGAGGTCTTCCACCAGAAATCACAACCCTTGACCCTAGCTTCCCACCTCACAACAAGAAAAGAATACACCAGTGCCTACTGGCAGCAGTGCCCCACAGGGCAGCATGTGAGTAGATTTACTCCTGAGTCCAATCCAGTCCCTTACTGAAAAGGCAGTGATCACAGATCCAGGCCTCATTTGGAGGTTAGGCAGTTTACCCAGGTCTCTGCCCTCCCTTTCTCCCAGTCCCGACTTTCCTCCCTCATTCAGACTTTAGCTGTCACCCTGCCGACTCACAAGCATGCCTGCGTGTTCCCTGCAGCCTCAGGGAAAAGGCTCCCCTGCGCCAGCCAGCCCTGATTCCGACTGAGCCTTCTTAAGCCTGGGCCTGACTCTCACCACTTGGAGAACACCACTTGGAGAACCTTGGCCATCCCAGCCTCCCTCACAGATCAGTCTGTTGGTCTCCCGCTTCTCTCCCCATCCAGCCTGGCATTGTAGAATTTCGGCCCTTCTCCTGGACTAGACAGCGCTCTATTAAAGGAGCAGATACCGCGACGCAGGCGTGTTTTCCTCGGCAAAGCCAAAGGCAGCACCTGGAACGCTGCAGCGTTCTTCGCTCGGAGACCCAGGAGCCTCGGGAGTAAAGACTTACCGAGAAAGCCTCACACCAAGTTAAGGGCAGACCCCTGCACCCCGGCAACCGCCATGCAGGAAACCTTGGGGATACGAGCTCACAAGCCCCACCGCATCAAGAAGCCCACCTACCTGCAGCCACCCGAGGTGCGGCGAAGAGGGTCCACGGAACTACAGCCTGAGACAGTGCGCATGGGTCTCCCTCCGAGGGCGAGTCCACGCGCCACCTAGAAAGTGGAGAACAAGATCGGCCGCCGTGAGATGGAGCGCGGGCACGACCTCCCGAGACAGGGGGAGAGGCCCGAAAATGTCTCTAGGCGCCCTCCCATTCCCCGAAGGTGGTCGAGAAACTGAGTCTCGCCAACCGGCAGGGAACCGGGGACCAGGCCGAGGGCTCCGAGCGCCCTCTCCGCGGACAGGGAATTGGGGCGTGGCGGAGGGGCATGATCTCGGGTTTGCTACGGGGTTTTCTTCCCGCCGGCCGCCCGACTCCCCCGGCCCCACTAACCCGCAGGCCACAGTCCACGACACCAGCTCCGAGCAGCGTAGCGACCGCGTCCAGGCAGCGCCGTGCCTCTACACCCCCTGCGTGCGCGCGGCCGCCCCTACACCCAGCGCTAGCTCCCGGCGCGTCCCGCGACAGCCTCCCAGCCAGGCCGCGCCCGCGCGCGCTCACCCCACCGCGCCTGCGCTGTGAGCAGTGGGGCCCACGGCCACGCAGGCGCTCCCGGGCCGTACCAGCGCGGCAGCACGGCGCGGGGGGTGATGGGAGCGCGCGCCTAGCCCGGCGCCGCGCCCGATGCCGCAGAGCCGCGGAGCCGCGTGCGCAGGCGCAGAAGGGCCCGGCTTGCACCGCGCTTCTGCTTCTTGCCCCTCGCCCTGATCCCAGAGGTGGGCGGTGGGAGGTGGCTGGCGGAAGGGGCAGGAATGCCCTGGGTCTGCGGAATTAAGAGATGGCGGGAAGCGCTGTGGTACGTCCTCGGCTACCACCCGGCCCTCGCCGAGATGAAGAGGCAATGCTGCCTCAGCCTGCGGTTAGTGCCCTCGAGTCAGCTGGGGACTGTGGGCATTGCAGGGGTGGGGGGAGGTGGCTACTGAGCGGCAAGAGGGATGCTGGGCCAAGCATAGGGATGCTGAGGCCATCAAGGAGGATTTGGACATAGAGTGTCTACAGGGGCTTGGGTTGGCTGGGTGTACATGCCTCATTAGCGTAACTTGGATGGCATGCCAGCAAAGTCTCTCACCACCCAGTGCCGGCTGCTGGAAACCTCCTAATGAGCCTTCATACCAGACCTCAGGCATTAGGGACTGGTTCTACATCTCCAGCCCAGGAGTGAGAGGGCAGGGCCCGGCTGGCCGCAAGGACCCTCCACCTGCATGCCTAGGGGCTGGTGGGCGAGGACCTGTGGAGGGGTGGTTGGTGAGAAGCCTGTAGGTTTTCTCATCGTGGGTGGGTTGGTTCTGTGCTAGACCTGGTGAGGCCGGACCCAGTGAGGACAATGAGGGCAGGCTGCCAAAGCCTCCCCACAGGGCTGTGCCCAGCCCAGGCCTGCCACTCAGGAGTGGCGTGCCCAGTCAGTACCCAGAGACTTTGGAAAAGTGAGTAGAGGCTGAGGCTGGGTGCTCTTCATGGACACAGGGACCGCCCACACCACCTCCCCACGTCTCTATGGTGCCTGGACAAGAGATGAGAGAGGGTGCCAGCCCCTTACAAGGGGAAAGGTGACCCGCCCCCAGCCTAGGACCTAGTGTCCCATGAGTTAAGTGCCTGGATGCAGGCCAGGAATCACTGGGGCCGTGGGCAGCAGAATTTACCGGAAAATAATGCTTCTCAAGGCAAACACACAGGAAACACAGCAGCTCCCTTTCTGCCCTGGTCTAGTGACTCCTTTCATGAAACGGTCTCTGAAATGTTATCTGCATTTACACCAAACTCACTCACTTTGATCCTTGAAATGAGACTCAAAGATCACATTGTACCTTCGCCGGGTCTATGGGGCTTCCAGCCGCCTGGGCCAAAAATAATAAAAGTGGCACTCAGCCAGGAAACACCTCCTTGAAGTGTGAATGAAATTTGGATTTTTCAGTTGTATCTTTTCTAATTGACCTGATAATTTAAAATTCCTCCCTCAAAGGAGAGGGAGAGTTCCTGAGAATTTGGCTTACCTCAGGCACTAGATAGCTCAGGCCAACTCAGGGCCCATCAGCAGAGAGCCAGCAGGGGTTGTGCAAAAGACTAATCCAAGTGGGCCGACCCATCAGAAAAGAAATTTTTGGGTCCACATTGTTTATTTATTTATTTTTTTCAGGCTATCTTCTATGTATATTTTTAAAAATGCTTTTTAGCTTCTCTGTAGGCTAGATCCCTAACAGGGCCCCACATTGCCTTTTCACCCACACAATGGAATGAGCTAAGTTTGCTGAGAGCCCACCAAGTGCCCAGCATGTGACAAGGTTCTCTTCTGATGATGAGGCAGAAAACAGCCCATTTCACAGATGAAGAAACAGCTTCATGAAGGCTGAGACTTGCCTGAGAAATGGCAAGCTTGGGAGACGCTACCCAGCCCATAGCTCCTTCTTGGGAAGTGCCCCAACTGGTAAGGTGCTGGATGTAACTGCTTGAACTGAGAGGCCCAGAGACAGTGGTCAGGCAGAGAACACTGGAGCCAAGACATTGGCTCTGAAGTGTTTAGGATTATTGTCAGCACTGCAGCCCCCAGAGCCAGGGTCAGTAAGGTAACAGGGACAAGCAGCCCAGGAGAGGTGATGCCAGCTACTGGAGGACTGTCAGCCTCTTGAGCCTGCCTGTGCTCCTTGCATTTGGATCTGCGTGAGAGCCTCCCCTAGAGCCAGGAATGTCAGGGTCTCTTGTTCAGCTACCCACCTTGTCACCCTACCAGAAGTTGCCCTAAAAATGCAGAGCTGAGTCCGTTGGAGCCTTCTCAGAGGCCTGTGTCCTTTTCCAGAAAGTGATCTCTTTCTTGCCCTTCCAGTGGGATTGTACCCTACATGATGAACATGGATGCTTCAGAGACCCATCCAACTTAGCTGGGGGACTGGGCACCAGAGCCTGGTGCCCTTGGGGTTCCTTGTGCCATTAGAAACCAGTGTCATCATCGTGGGTTTCCTTTTTTTTTCCTAATTGAGGTAAGATTTACATACAATGAAATGCATAGGTCTTCATAGTACAGTTTCATGAGTTTTGCACATGTTAACCGCCACCGCACGCAATTAAGCTGTATAACGTTCCATTACCCTGAAAGTGGCCTCACGTCCCCTTCTAGTCAGTCTCCAGTCCTCACAGGCAAACACTGTTCTGACTTCTACCCCATAACTTTATTTTGCCCCCTCTGAAACTTCTGCCAAATGTAATGTTACAGTATGGACTCTTTTTGTGTTTGGCCTCTCAGGATCAATATAATGTTTGTGAGATTCATCCATGGTATGGTTGCGTGTATCTCATTTCTTTTTTTTGCTGTGTACTATCGCATTGCATGACTGCATCATTTGTTTAGCCATTCTCTTATTGATGGACATTTGAGTGCTTTCTAGTTTGGGGCTAGTATGTGTAAAGCTGCTATGTACATTACTGAACAAGTTCTTTTTGTGGGTGTAAGTTTTCACTTTTTAGGGGTAAATATTGAGGAGTGGACTTGCCGGATCATAGAATAGGGCATATTTAACTTTATAAGAAACTGCCAAGAGCTTTCCAAAGTACCTGGAAAATTTATACTTCCTCCAGCAGTGTATGAGGGTTCTACTTGCTCCACATCCTCACCAACACTTGTTATTGCCAATCTTTTCATTTTAATCATTCCAGCAGGTATGGAGTGCTATCTCATTGTGGTTTCAATTTGCATTTCCCTGATGAATTTGAATGATGTTGAGCATCTTTTCATGTGTTTATTTGAAATGTGTGTATCTTCTTTTGGAAAGCATCTGTACAAATATTTTGCCCACGTTTTTATTTGGTTGTTTGTCATCTTTTGTTAATTTGGAAGAATTTTTGCATACACAAACAGTCTTTGTCAGATGTAGATATTGCAGATACTTTCTCCCAGTCTGTCACTTACCTGTTCATTTTCTTGGTGATGTCTTTTGAAAAGCAGCATTTAAAATTCTTGAGGCTGGTGCTTGTTGTGCTCTAAGAAATCTTTGCTACCTCAAGGTCATGAAGATTTTCACCTAAGTTTACTTCTAGAAGTTCTATAATTTTTGCTTTTACATGTAGGTCTATGATGAATTTGAATTAATTTTTGTGTTTGATGTGAGTTATAGGAGTTTTTTGTTGTTGTTGTTGTTGTTGTGTGCTGTCGAGTCGATTCCCTCTTACAGAGACCCTGTAAGACAGAGTAGAACTGTCCTATAGAGTTTTCTAGACTGTAATCTTTATCGGAGCAGATCGCCAGGTCTTTTCTTCCACAGAGTGGCTGGTGGGTTCGAACTACCAACCTTTTGGCTACCAGCCAAGCACTTAACCATTGTGCAACCAGGGCTCCTTATAGGAGTTATAGGCTGAAGTTTATTTTTCTCCTTATGACCATCCCATTGTTCTAGCACCATTGCTAAAAACACTTTCTTCCCCATTGAATTACCTTGGCACTTTTGTTAACATCCAGTTACCACACATGTGGTTCTACATCTAGACCCTCTATTCTATTCCATTGATCTTTGTCCTTTGTCCAAGAACATACTGTATTAATTATTGTAGCTTTATAGTCAGACTTGAAATCAAGTCTTCCAACTTTGATTTCATTTTTCAAAATTGTTTTGGCTATTCTAGTTCATTTCAGGTAACTTTTACAATCAGTTTGTCAAAGCATGCCTGGCCCACACACCCTGATGTATCAAAACAAAACAAAAAAGCAGGATGAAACAAACGGACTTACAATCAATAAATAAAGAAAATACTACCTTAATGTCTTGGAGACAGCAGACAATATCAAAACATATAAAAGAGCAGGACAGGATGGCTTCAGCAAATGACCAAAATAAAGAATTGGATGACCTTCTGGTAGAAGAAAAGGCAGTGGAGCTATCTAATATGGAATTCAAAAGACTAATATTTAGGGTTCTCCAAGAGACTAGGAAAGAGATCAAGGAAAACACAGACAAAACCAAGGAAGTAATAGACATAATCATGGAAAACACAGACAAAACCGACAAAAACATAGCCAAAATCAAGGAAAACACAGACAAAGGAATAGAAGAATTCAGGAAAATAATACAAGAACAAAACATCAAAGTAAATAATTAGAAATCATACAAAAACAGCAACTAGAAATCCTAAAGATAAACAACAAACTTTCAGAAATGGACAACTCAATAGAAAGTTTTAGGAGCAAATTTGAAACAATGGAAGACAGAATCAGCGAGATTGAAGACAAATCCATGGATGCCACTTTGAGGAAAAATCAGAGAAAAGAATGAAGAAACCTAAGAATGATGTGAGACACAATCACGAGCGAAAATTTCCACATGATCAGAGTTCCAGAACGGGGAGAAAATGGAAAACACAGAGAACATTGTTGAAGATTTGCTGGCAGAAAACTTCCCAAATATCATGAAAGATGAAAAGTTGACCATCCAAGTTCAACGAACCCCATATAGGATAGA